ATTTTGAAGGGTCTATAAAAAATTTTTACTGCTTAAAAGTGTACAGTTGAATGTTTGAATGGTCAAACACATGCTCAGGCACTACTTAAAAAATTAAATGCAAGCCTACAGCATTATAAAGAGAGTTCTCAGTACAATTGTATTACTATTCCTGTTAACATTTTATACAGCAATAGTGGTGCAAAGCAAGACAGCTGAGAAATTGCGTTAAGTGCAGCTTTTACTCATCCACAGTCTTTGAACAGAGCAAGGAAATAGTCACAAAAATAATTTGAGCTCTCAAATATTATATTTGCAAGTTCTGGTTGAATTTTAAAAAATGCAATAGTGTCAATCAAACCCTCCAATGTTTTATTGTTTGGTTCAAAATAGGTCTATTCCGAAGAACAAATCTATTCATACTGTTTGCTTTTTGAAATTTTGATATCCAAGAAAAGCTTACTGAATATAAAAAAATGTCATTTTTAGATCTGAATTGAAAATGTCAGTTTCAATTTTAATGGCTTGTAAATGAAAACTAGCTGGGAAAATACCATAAGAAACCCTGTTTTTCTGTAATGGTGATTGCCACAACAACAGAATGAATAAATCAAAATGAATAAATGACAACACTAGAATGTCAATAAATTTGATAGGGCATACTTTGAAATGTTCTTACTGAAAAACTTGTGATACCATAGCAATATCAGGGAAAGTATCCAAATGATGTGAGAAAATCTGACAAAAAAGGAAACAAACGAATCACAGAATCATAGAACGGTTTGGGTTGGAAAGGACCTTTAAAGGTCATCTAGTCCAACCCCCCTGCCATGGGCAGGGACATCTTTCACTAGATCAGGTAGCTCAAAGCCCCGTCCAACCTGACCTTGAACACTTCCAGGGATGGGGCATGAAGGTTATGGACAGAATAATATGAAGAAAATAGCAAGTTTCCAGTGAAAGTTCATAGAAATCATGTGAAGCTGATGCAAATCAAAGTCCAATAAATGTCCTAAAGAACGCCAAATGTTTTCCTTAAACAATGACAATTCAGCAAAATTACTGTTATCATTAAAGAACTGAGTATATTTGGCAGGTCATAAAAATGAAGTTAGGAAGGACAACAGAAAACCTGGACAATATTTAACTGCTAACATTTAGACAAATAACGCAAGTAGTAAATGTATTTCTGGTGAATTTACAGGTATTTATAGTTACATGGCCTTGTTAGTGTAGAATTTTAGCAGACAAGTCATGAGCAGCAGCAATTTGGTCTTGTGGAAGGAAACTGCTTGGTGCTGCTTTCCTTTCAGGACCCCCTCTATTCCTGCAATCTGTGGCTCTTTACCTCTCCTAGTCCTGAAGAAGTAGTAAGGAGGGAAGTCACTGTAAGGTAACAAGCCTTTGAAGCATATTTCTGTAAAGATGCAGGCCATGAATGCTGCATGCATTTGGGGAAGTGGAAATGAGAAAGCAAGGCAGTGGCAATAAACAGGCATGACAACTAGCTGACTAAGCATGAAAACATCGGGGAAAACCAAAATGAGCATGCAGATGAACAGTGCTGGAGATGAACTTCTGTCTCTTCTGAGAAAAGGAAGGCTTGGGAGGAGGGAGAAAAACCATATCATAAACCCCAGAAACTCAGTAGCCAGAGAAGCACTTCAAATTATTTGTTTTAATGTCATGTCATAACAGAACTGGATAGTGCCTTTTGAAAGCATTCTTTTAACGTTGGTTCCACGGATAGGTTTTACAGAGGCATCTTCAATTCTTGCTACTTGCTGGTCAAACAGTTGTCTCCCCTGCTCTCCCCTGCAATATCATCAGTGTGAGACACTGCTGTTCAAGAAATATTCCTATACATAACAAATATACTTTGATGAGTATCATTCTGTTGAACCTCCTGAATGTATACAGAGGTGCCTACGTGCCATCAAAGTTTTAAAATGTTAGTTATTATCACAATGCCATAATTCTTTCACAAAAAAGAAAACAGAAATATTTTCTCCTACTTCTTAAAGGAATAAAAGGCAGGCTCCCAAAGCAGTCTTATAGCCAGTAGTATTTTGCCAAGAATAATGTAGAAAGTACAGACCACATTGAATATGATTTATGTGAAGCCACTGCTTCTGTAAACTTGCCCTGTATGATTTCTGATGTTAGCTTTCAGAACACTGAAATAATTTCAAAAAGCTGTGTTTTTCTCCTCAGGAAGCAGTCCTTTTCAGTCTGAAAATATATTGAAAGTAAAATAACAAAAGCAACTATTTCGTGGTGATCAGAGTGTTTGAAAAAAGATGTCTTTTCTGAAAAGCGTGTTATACTTACAGAGCATAAACAAGCACATAACAGCACACATTTCTCTATGAATCCAAAACACACTGTTTCTACTCAAAGTCATGAGGACTACTCCTATGCTAATTTATTCTTTGTATCTTTCAACACAAGTTTCTTTTCTGAGACTGCTATATAACGCAAATTATACGAAGGGTTGGGGTTTTTCTTTCAATCAGTAATTGTCTTACTGAGCTGAACGGGTTCTGCCACAAAGCCAGCATTTTCCACAAAATGCCAGGCAGCAACCAGCTGGTGACAGCTTCTTGGTCAGAACTAACTTGAGCTGGATTGTAACTTGCTATATGCAGGCTGGCCAGCCAGCCCCTGTAAACCAGGTCCATTTTAAATGTCCTCTCATTCATCCAGACAAAGTAATTAAAGGGAAATATTGGAAGCATAGAATGCCCCATTTCCCCAACATTTTGTAGAAAAAAACGTCGTGCTTTCTTGGCGTAGAGGATATACTTTGAGGTCCCTGAATGTAATTTAAAGCACTTTACAATGCCTTGGTTTCTTTGTCACTGGAAGATGAATGTCGTATCGGGGGAGGAACTGGGCCGGAGCTTAATCCTGAAAAATTTCAGTGAACGTCTGAAGGGGACGGTGAAAAACAGACAAAAGGAAGCCTATACCGTCGTCACTGCAAACAAGCAAAGCCTGTCTTGCTCTCTGCTCTCCAAAACAGCGACCTACCCAGCCTGCCCGTAGCCGGTGCCCGGCCCGGAGCCGCACTTCTCCGGACGGTGAGGGGTGAGGAGGGGGCACCCGCACCAGGGCTGGGGGGGGCGGGGAAAGGGGATGAGGAGGCAAGGAGAAAGCCAGGCGGCGGGGAGAGGGCAGAAAGAGCAGACCCGAGGCACGGGGAGACGGACGCGGAGGGAGAGGGATGCGGGCA